TGTCTGAGACTATATGAGAACCAATGTACGATATAAATTCGTCAGTATCCAAGCGCAAAAAACTGAACAACCATCTCGACAGGACAGCTACTAACATTTTCTATCTGTTCGCAACGCAGCTCAAGCTAAACGGAAGAAGAAGCAACCACGGCCTCTGTACAGCATCGAGTATTCTCAGCCAGAGCCGGTGGTGCACGACGAGAGCGTATCGCCGAAGCCGATGACGCCTCGCAGAGTGAAGAGAAGATCGGTGATCTCTCGCGACGGGACGAGGAGGTCCAGCAGAAGGAGCTCGGTGAGACAGTCACGGAGAAAGAATCCGGTGAACAAGATTATGGACCACCAGGAGAGTCTCTATGCCAATACAACGGCCGTGAGCAATCTCACCAATCAGAACGTGAACTCGTTGTCGCAAGGTACGCTCAACTATGATCGGATTTCAATGAGCTGGGACAGGGACAGGAACTCGAACTGGCAGCCGGAAGCCGTGAACATGGCCGTGTCCTCTCCCACCTTGTGGAACCAAGATTCTTCGAACAATTACTCCAACACTAGCAACTACACGAGTCAGAGTTATCCGAATTGGGATGCCAGCAGCTCCACCAGGAATCTCACGGACAATTGGCAACCGAATGAATTGAGCCCGATGCAGTGGCAGGGACAGAGTAACCCGACCTTCCAACAAACCAGCACGCAGAGCTTGAACGGCGAAGACTTGGACGAGATCTATAATAATCGACCGGCAAGCGCTAGGTCGAGTTATAGTAATTATCACGGGGTTAGGGCTACGCCTCAGGTCCCAAATAGAACGGACATTGTTAGGCAGAGCCAGAGGCAGTTTGTTCTCAGCGGACCTCCTGCTTATCAGGATACGGTGATCTGAGAATTCTGAGGGATTTGCAGACCTAGATCTGGTGGATGTTTGGTTGTCGCGAGGCTTCATTCGATAACATTGTAATTTGTTCAATTGTGATAGTTTTAACGCTAGAACTACCAATCAGAATAATTTCCCTTTGAGCATTATCCGTACGAAAAGCTGTGCCGTCACCCAGTCTATTTTTAGTTAAAGTTCTAGACTTTCGAAATATATAACAAAAAGGTTCGTGTTATTCAATTTATATTTCAGTTTATTTTGTCAATTTTTGAGCCAAATCTTTACGAACAGTTTCAGGGAGAGAAAGAAAATTTGCTTTAAAAAAAAAAAAAAAAAAAAAAAAAAAACGGAGGGTTGAAGTATTACATGAAACTTGTACGAGGCATTTTAGGTATAAATAACGGAGGAAAAATTAAACTACAATAAAAAAAAAACGCAAGCTTTTATTCGTCTGTTTTATGAAAAATTATCAAAATCTTTAAAAATCTGTTCTTACAAACTTACGAAATTTCTATGAAAAATTACAAATTGCTCATTTTGATTACTCCGGTAGTTCCAGTGTTAATTTAATTATATATATATATATATATATATATATATATATATATA